TCAGATTCAGATGTTCCCTTATAATGATCAAGTCTGAGTATTAGAAGTGGCATCAGATACGATGTACAGTAGAATCCTATATCTATACATAACCCCATTGAATTTAATAATATGTACAGGATTGCAACCAAAGACTTCCAGACATTTGTACCCTTCAAAATACAATGGACCCTCGACTTACAGACGGCTCGACTTACAGACTTTTCGAGTTACAGGCTTCTCTGGCTGCAAAATTTAGATTCGACTTGCAGCCAGAGAATCGACTTACAGACCAGAAAAAAACCAAAATGGAATAAAAATAGAATAAAAACCACTGGTTATGGGATTAATCGGTTTTCAGTGCATTGTAGGTCAATGGAGATTCGACTTACAGACTTTTCGACTTGCAGCCACCATTCCAATACGGATTAATTCCAACATTTGTACCCTTCAAAATAAACAGTGCCTCATTCACAAGATACAATAGGTGACAACGCAGTTAAGTTATACTGATGTGGAAACTAGTCATGTTCACAACCAGATTTGGTTCAGGTCATGATCTGGAAAACACCCTGATTCAACTCGGACCAAATCTAAATTTCAGTTCAGAAATCAAAATACCGGTAGCTGTGCTTCCCACTGATTATATCTGAAAATAAACAAACGGCTATAATATGTTTCTGTTTTTTAAAAATTAAATAAACGGTCAGAAGCCCACTATGAGATCATGGCTGTTAAATATGAGACAAAATAAGATTGTGTGTGTGTGTGTGAGAGAGAGAGGAGTGTGTGTGATAAATATATAACATTATTTTGCCACACATCTTTAAATTTTAAATTTATTTTTAATGGGATGTGCTGACAAATAAATATATAACATTACTGTATTTTGCCGTACATCTTTAAATTTAAAATTTATTTTTAATGGGATGTGCTGACAAGTGCCATATTTCTTGGCAGAACTGAGAGGGCTAGTTGCTTTTCTGAGGGGATCATATCTGTCAAGTGTTAGGTTGATAGATCCAGAGAGTATTGTGGAAGAGCATCCTTTACAATTTGGTGGGCTTCAAAAATTAAATGCACTTCTCTCCTCGGTTGTTGTTTTTTGTGAGTAAACATTATGAAAATGATGTACAACAAAGGTTGTTTTGCTTTGAAAACCTGCAAGATTTGAGAACAGGTCAAGTGTATTTTGAGAAGGGGGGAGAGATGTTAAAATATGGGAGGAGTCATTTGCTTCTCGTTACTATTACCACCCCAATTGATTCATTGGCAATTAGAAAATTGTGTAAGTCCTAGAGTTGCCCCTAGTCAAAAAATTCTGCAACATTTCAGAAGTGCAAATGACAGAAAATATGATGAATTAAAAACAGTTTAAGAATTCTTTGTTTTCTACTGGATTGTCATCAGAATCACAGACAGGGCAGTCGGACAGGAGTGGATGTAACATACAGTGGCAGAAGCAGACTGGAATATCCAGCATTTTGCAAGCAATAACCCAATGCTACACCTTTCTAGGTCCCAATGACACTGGAAAACCAAATTTAGTGTTCCCTCTCAGAAGAAAGAACTAGTAAAGAGTGATGAACACTGCAACATGGATCAACCTTCAGTATCACTGCCTACAAAACACTGTGTCTGTAAAGTCCCAATAAAATCATACACTTGATTATAAGTTAGAACTGCCAGTCAGAAAACTGCATCCTCCACCTTGTCTCTCTGGGTATTCATGCTGCTACAGAAAGAAAGAGTTTGCTTATTTGACGGAAGGCTCTCACAGGCATTCTTTGCTCCCCTAAATGAACATTGTTCTAGAAGCATTCTAGAAAAGTGTTTGCTACTCAATTCAAAGTATGTTCAGATCTTCTTTTCTCTAGTCAGTTTAGCCTTCCTTGCTCCCTCAGATTTTTTTTTTACTGTGACATTGCTGTAGAAGCCAGTGGACATATCATTAGTCCTGAAAGTGGCCGATCTTTGCTCTAAAGCAGTGGTCCCCAACCTTGGGCCTCCAGATGTTCTTGGACTTCAACTCCCAGAAATCCTGACCAGCAGAGGTGGTGGTGAAGGCTTCTGGGAGCTGTAGTCCAAGAACATCTGGAGGCCCAAGGTTGAGGATCACTGCTCTAAAGGATCATGCACAAGATTCTTTTTCTTGCATTATAAAGAAAATGCATAGTTTTTGTTCTATTAATCTGGGAAAAGGTCTATGTAGAACTGAAATACCCCCTCATGACAATTTTAGTGAGCACATTTGTTTCCAGGGGCATTTCCTTTCCTATGAATTAAAAGAACATTTAGCTAACCTAGTGGAAAAGTGCCCACGTGCATTATTATTATTCCTACAAGGCCAAGGAGAGAACAGAAGAAGAGGGTGGAAATAGAAACAGGCTATATGTGTGTGTGTAAAGGCTTCAGGTCAGACAGGCAAACATCTGGGAGCTTTTGGAGCACAAATCCCAGAATCCCACAGCTGACACAGTCAGACATTCCTGTCTCTGCCTCTGCCTCAGGTACACCCAAAGTCTATTTGTTCATCACAGTCTAGAATAAATTTTGCTTTATGATCTCTGGATACAACACTTGCTACTAAATAATGCTCAAGATGTCAATCAAAATTATGCAAAAATTGTTCTGAACCACAAGATTTTCCATGCTCTGGACTGTAGCCATAGACTTTCTTTCTTTTGTAACTCCTTCCCATTTTGCCCTCTTCCTTGCAAATGCTAATGAAGCGAACAAAGTTTCTGATGGCTCCCTTTATTTTTATTTTCCCCACCTGCTGCATAGCTCTTCGAGTGCCTCATGAAAAACATATAGTTAGAACACCAAATCCTTCCTTCCTTCCTTCCTTCCTTCCTTCCTTCCTTCTGAGTGCCGCCTGCCATCCTGCATTCTGTGTGCATCTTAAACACAAGTGTAATGAGCAAGGATAGCTGCAATGTGAGGGGAAAACACTGGGCTGAAGGTTGGGGAGATGGAAGGCAGGTAACCCACCTTTTCACTGCCTTTCTCCTCAGCCAGGGCTCTACTGTAACTGTGCTGATTTCTGGGCATGGGGTCCATGAAGTCAACATAGCCCCCCTTTCCCGGCTTTTCTTGCAGCTGTCATAATCCTTTTTTGTTGTTATTGTTGTCAAATAAAGTATGTGACATATCAACAGAGCAATGCATCAACCTAGCACGGTATTAGAGTTGTGCTGTGTCAGTCAGGGAAATATTCCAAAAGAAGAAAACAACAAGAGAGGGGATTGCTCCATCCTCCCTTTTAGTGTCACAACCCACTAAATGTCACAGGGTTATCACCTCAGATAACACTGCCCACAGCTCTGTTTGGGTGTGAATTAACCAACCACATGGGCCACAGAATCAGGGTCATTTCCAACTGCACCAAATAAACTGCAGCCCTGGCACTGTGCCAGAAAGGAGCAGATTGACTTGTAAAAAGGCTGGGACGGGTTACTCTTAGGCTGCAGTCACGTCAGTGAAATGTCCCCCTGTGGTCACATGACTTTTAATCATGTTTCTGTCATGCTTTGTGGTCACATGATATTTATTCTAGGATGTGCATCCCAATGTGGGGTGTTTTATTTTGGGTTACTGGGTCCTTTCCTTCCAATTCAATAAGGGCCTAGACCTTCTTGTTACCACCATTTGAAGAAGTTAACTGATGAATCCACACAAATGCCGTGGATTTTTTAAAAACAGCTTAAAAGGATATACACAGTGACAGCACTTCAGAAATTTTGCAATAAGACTGTTCACACACACAGCAACTCAACATATTTTGAAAAGATTCACAAAAACAAACAAACAAACAAACAAACAAACACCTCTGGCCAAGTGAGAAATGATCTGTAGTTAGCATGCTTGCCAAATAAATGATTAACTAATGGCTGTGCATCATGTGACCGCAGCAACATTTGGCTTTCGGTCTTACTGAAAACACATACATTCACCAGAAAATAGGGCAAACCAAACCACACCAAAAGCATACCAAAAAGTGAGCTATATGCCTGTCTGATTGCCTTCTTATTTTCCATCATTGGCATTGACTGGACATGATGTCATGATGACATGTCATTGAAACCATAACCCACATTTGGCATGCAGCTCAGCACAGATGAAGGACTGTGGTACCAACGGTAGAGAGTGCAAAAGTTACAGGCTTTGAGAAGTGAACAAAACACAAAGAGAATTGCTAAAATAGGTCAATTGTTTTGATGGGGCAGTTATTTTTGGAGGGGTAAAGGAAACAGAAGGGCCACAGGACATGCCACTTCCACCACAACAGCACTGCTGGGTCTTCAGGCACAATGACATACTATGTTGACATGACCTGTGACATGCAGGTGCTTATCAGACAGCATCAATGTATATCACTTAACACCATCATCAGGGAAGTGAGTGTGTCTCATGGAATGTGAGGCACACAAAGAGTGGGAAGCCTGTGGCAGTTGTGTGCCCCTGCAAACCTTCTTAACATTTCCACTGTGGCATGTTTTTTGAGACACCACCCCAAGCTAATCTCAGAGGATGTGTGGAAATGCAATAATGATAAAACTTACATGACCACAATAGGATGGGGGTGGGGGCAGAGTACAATTTGTGTGGAAGAGATATGCAACAAATAAGCAGTAAAAATTGCACTGGAAAGAAGTTGGTATACAGTGAGAAGCAAAATGACAATGAGCAGTATCTGTTTTCTTTCACTGAAACACCAGGGGCTTTTAGGATTCCTTTGTATTTTATACCCCAGAGAGGAAATATTCTGCTCCATGATATGCAGAAGTGAATATTTGTGGAACAGTCGGATCTTCTTCAGACAAAATTCTATTGAGTTAACTTGCAAACCCTAAAATTATTCAGACATTCTCCAGAATATTATGCAAGTATATTTTAATAGTTTAAATGCATACCCATGTGGATGATCATGATCAATAATAATATATGCATATTACTGCTGCTTACAAAGAACAATAGTTTGCACTATATGTTTGAAGGATAAATAAAAGCAGACTCACCTGGAGCTGCTGTTCTAGATCTGGAAATGCCAAAGGAAAGGCATTTTCAGGGGGTGTATCATCTGAAACATTAAAAAAAGGTTCAACATTTAGTAAGAAACTGCCTACATAATCACAAACATAAAGCATAAAGTAAATACAAATATTTAGGTTTGTTTTTTAATCTCAACCAGTACGTATACATTGGCCAAAATCCTGCTGGCGATTTTCATAAGTTAAAATCTGTAACACACTTTGGCAAGCTTCCACTGAGTAAGGAGGCATTGGTTGCATAGTAAGTTATGTAATTTAATGGGTAAAATCCTGTTACTTAGCACAATAAATCACATTAGAGTAAGCACACTGAACTAGTAGTGATTTGGTGAGTCAACTCTTCTATAAGTTCAAATAGATCTGTTCTAGTTGCAGCTTAATTTAGCATAGCAAGTCACAGCTAGAGTAGGCTCATTTGAATCAATGGGACTTATGGAAGATTTGAATCTTCAAATCTCTACTAATTCATCAGGCCTAATCTAGTGTAGGTCACTGTGCTAAGTAACAAACAGCCAATGTATACTTGCATAAATCACCAACCAAACTTTAGCTGTTCTATATTGTGTTGCATTTGTGTTCATACTCTTGTATATATCCACAAAATTCACATTCAAAAATATTTTCAATCCATCAATAATAAAATCTATGAGACTGAACTATGCATCTGCACAATTGACGTATTTGAGCTGAGGGATAAATTCCCTGCCCCTGGTCCTCAAAATCTGTTTTAAATCACCAGAAAATCCTCTAGAGCAGGCTTTCAGGCAGCACATAAAAGCTAATTTTTCGGAGGAGCAAGAAAATCCCATTGCACTAGTACATTTCTGCTGGCACAATGTTCATTGGATGGCTAATTTGTATACAGTAATGTCCCATTGGTATTATGGAGCAAGAATTGCATGAATTAGGCCTTTGGGTTGTTTGGGTGAAGATTTGTGGCAGAAACAAATGCTGATGTATTTCATCATATATGGAAATAACAATTGTGATTTCTAAGGAATTCCCAAGCCTCTTACACCACCCAGCAACCCTATGTGCATCACCTCATGATGGCCAGTTTACTGTACAGCTCCCGACATAATGTCATTCAAAGGTTGTCACCTGGCACTTCTTGGAAGGGCCCATGCACAATCAAAAGAGCATGGTTGATAGCTGTGAGCCTAACATCATCTTCATAGGCAGGAAGGCTGTCATTCAGAGGATGGACACAATCTGTTCTTGTTCATCCCAGAGGGCAGGACACGCAATAATGGGTTTAAATTGCAGGAAGCCAGATTATAGCTGAATATCAGGAAAAGCTTCCTAACTGTTAGAGTAGTATGGCAATGGAATCAATTACCTTGAGAGGTGGTGAGTGCTCCAACACTGGAGGCATTCAAGAGAAATTAAAAAAACCACCTACCAGATATCCTTTGATTTGTATTCCTGCGTTGAGCAGGGGTTTGAACATGATGGCCTTATAGGCCCCTTCCAACTTCATTATTCTATGATTCTATGTGGCATCAAGTCCATCCAGTGCTTTTACCAAGGCCTCATTTGCTACCGATCTTTGAAGAACTCTGTGCTGCCAATTATTTGTTTACTTTTGAGACTTGAGAACAGAGAGCATTAAAGGCTTAATACAGTGGTGCCTCGCTTAGCGAGTGCTTCGCTATGCGATGAATTCGCATAGCGAGGGGGTCCGGGCCATCGCTGGAGCATTCGCTCAGCGATGGCCCCTATGGCGATTTTTCGCTTTGCGATGATCGCTAAGCTAGCATTAAAGGCTTAATATATGTAAATGGCATCACTTCCAGGAAAGTTTTTTTAAATTATCCTATTATATTGTCTTTCCTCTGTAAGTAATATAACAGTAGCCTTTTAAAATTTTAGTCCTACAAGTCCATTCTCTTTAAGATAGTTTGAATTTAAACAATTCTCTGCAAAGGATCTTTAATAATATTCCACTTAAAACTATTAAATTGGACAAGAATACTTCCTTCCCAACCTGACAGTTACTGGAGAAAATATTAAACACATCTGTGCTTGAATTTAACCACAATTTCTCTCAAGATGTCCTTCTGAGCTTGTGTTTATCTGCTAATTAGTTCTATTAAGTTTGAAGCCTAAGTCCAACTCCAACATCACACCAACATGGCAGAAACCCCTTGACCCTGCCCATCATCAACAACACTTGAAAACTGGCTCTAGAGAGTCTCCAATCTCTAGTTATTGTTGTTGTTTGAAGTGCACAGAGGCTATGGTGGAAAGGCAAAATTACCCTTTCCCAGTTTTGCTGAAGAAAGCAACCCATTCTCCATTGGATTTAGAGCCAAGATTTTCAGCCCTTGGAGTACAAAAAGCAAATATCCTCCACTGGACTTTTCCAAGATTTGACAACAGGTCATTGCACACATCGAGTCTCTATACTCCTTCAAACAAGGGATCAAATATCATTGGTTACAAACGAGGATAAACTATGACAAGAACTTCCATTCCAGTATCAAATAGCATCAATGGTATAAAGTAATACAACTCTTCATTTCATCTTCTGTTGTTGCTGTTGTTATCATTAATTTTATGTCCTGCTGTTCTGCCAAAAAATGGCAAAAGGGAGATAAAACAGCAGCAACATTCTGGTAAAACCAAACAAAATTAAAACATTGAACAGTTTCAAATGCAATAAAAATGCATAAACATAAAGAGCAACAGTCTTCATGAGCTACAGTGCAGCATGGAGGACAAAGAATTGTCTGAATAGAAGTCATCTTAGTATGTGGGTGGAAAAGCAGTAAAGAAGCAGCCAGCGTAGCATCCCTCATCTCCAGAGAAGTTTTCATTTCCCTCTCCCACATGCCTTCATGGGCTGCAGGACCAAAACAATCTCCCTGGAGATCTTAACACCACGGCAAAATCCAAAGGAAGAGCGGTAGGACCTTTTGAATAGCCAGGTTGCAATTCACTTTTGATTGTGCCTAAAAAGAAACAGAGTGAAAGCTATGTAGGCATGTTGTTGTTGTTGTTTAGTCATTTAGTCGTGTCTGACTCTTCGTGACCCCATGGACCAGAGCACGCCAAGCCCTCCTGTCTTGCACTGCCTCCCAGAGTTGGGTCACATTCATGTTGGTCACTATGTAGGCATAGAGATGGTCAAGAGATGATCCCTAGGCCACATATGGATTGAGGCTTCTCTGTGTTGGTTAAAAAAAGCAAAAAGAAGGATCAACATGATCCAGGAAGCACAATCACAATCAGCTCTAGTTCTTGTTTTTGCTGACTGTATAGAGCTCCTCCATCTTTGGCTGCAGAGAATATAATCAATCTGATTACAGTATTGCCCATATGGTGATTTCCATGTGTAGAGTCACCTCTTGTGTTGTTGGAAAAGAGTGTTTGTGGTGACCAGCTTGTTCTCTTGACAAAACTCTATTAGCCTTTGCCCTGTTTCTTTTTGAACTCCAAGGCCAATCATACCTGTTGTTCCTTTTATCTTCTGACTGCCTACTTTAGCATTCCAGTCCCCTATGATGAGAAGAACATCTTTCTTTGGTGTCAGTTTTAGAAGGTGTTGTAAGTCTCTTTAGAACTGGTCAGTTTCAGCCTCTTTAGCATCCGTGGTTGGTGCATAAACTTGGATTACTGTGATGTTGAAAGGTCTGCCTTGGATTCGTATTGAAATAATTCTATCATTTTTGAGATTTTATCCTAGTACAGCTTTTCCCACTCTTTTGTTGACTATCAGGGCTACTCCATTTCTTCTATGGGATTCTTGCCCACAATAGTACATATGATAATCGTCTGAATTGAATTTGCCCATTCCCGTTCATTGTAGTTCACTGATGCTCAGGATGTCAATGTTTGTTCTTGCCCTCTCATGTTTGACCACTTCCAGCTTCCCAAGGTTCATAGATCTTACATTCCAGGTTCCTATGCAGTATTTTTCTTTGTAGCATTGGACTTTCCTTTCACTTCCATGCATATCCACAGCTGAGTTTCCTTTTGGCTTTGGCCCAGCCACTTCATTAGCGCTGGAGCTACTTGTACTTGTCCTCCGCTCTTCCTCAGTAGCATGTTGGACGCCTTCCGACCTGAGGGGCTCATCTTCCAGCGTCTTATTTTTTAGTCTTTTGTTTCTGTCCATGGCAAAATTCTGTAGTGGCTTGGCAAAGATACTGGAGTGGCTTGCTGGTTCCTGCTCCGGGTGGATTGCATTTAGTCAGAACTCTCCACTATGTCCTGTCCATCTTGGGTGTCCCTGCACAGCATAGCCCATAGCTTCTCTGAATTACTCAAGCCCCTTCACCACGGTTAGGAATGAGCAGCTGGACAGTGGCAACATCCTCCTCTTCTCCTGGAATAAGAATAGAATGACTGGATCCTTGGCAGGTTGCCAGGCAGCAGCAGGGACTGTTTGAACTGATGGGAGAAGCTTCAGTCAGCTCAACGTGGAGTGCAGATTTAATCTGGGGTTTATTTATATGTATGATATGTGGCATGGAATTATATCCCTTGCTTATATTAAGTACTGTATTCTGTTCATTGCTTCTTTGTCTAAAGATAATTTTGACAGGAGATAATTCTTCATACACCATCAAATTAACACTGGATTTTTCTTAATGTATGACATTTCTCAAGACTAAACCAAGGGCATGTCCAGGCAGGGGAAGTTGGAGTGGTCTAGTCCATGCTTAAAATGCTTCTCTTCAGCGTGATCTATTTTATCTCTCAGTTGAGCAATCCTTCCATTCACACTGATTGATGCTTCTTCTCCTGTGAGAAGGGTCCGGAGTCCAGACGCATCTCTGGAGCACTCCAATGCCCCCCACTTCAATGAATGACATTCCCCTTCCTGCTCCCTTCACTACCTTTTCCTGAAGCTGTCATTAAAAAAAAAACAAACTGCCCTGCCACCTCATGCTTGTCCTTCACTTAATCAAGTTGTTAAAAGAAAGCATTTTTAAATCATTTGCAAAAGAACAATTCTTGTATTGGTTGTTGTGGGTTTTTCAGGCTCTTTGGCCGTGCCGTGAAGGTTGTTCTTCCTAACGTT